ACACTGATTGAAAGGATTGTTCACTTAAGCCCACACAATTTCTGCATCTAGAAAAAAAAAATAATCTGTTTGGTTTATAAATATATTTGTACAACAGAGCAGAAAGTTACTGTGTAGTTAGGGCCTTATTTGCAGGAACAAAAGCACTGCTTCAATTTGCTGCTGGAAAGAAAGCTTAGCAAAAAGCAAAACTTATAATTTATCTGTTTATTAAGGCCACCTATACTCTTAATATAGGTATCATGACTGAAAAATAACTTCATAGGTGCAAGAAACCTGGATTAGCTTTCTCATGGAGCCAAATTAGTTTCAAAAGTTCACAAAGAATACAGCAAGATTTGTATGCATAAAATAGGACCGATAAGAATACAAGATTTGAAAGCAAATTCACAAATGTGTATCCCAAAAAGCATACATTTTTACCTCAAAATTCACCAATGTATGAAAAGTTATAGAACTTAACTCTTTTCAAACAAAACAAGTTCTAACACATCAAACAGGCAAATGTACGACGGAGTATTAGGGCCACACATGAAAACAAAAAATATTTTTGCCATGACGAGATTAAACTCGACATGTCGACTTTAAAGTCGACATGTCGACATTAAACTCAACATTTTGAGAATAAAGTTGAAATGTCATGTTGAGTTTAATCTCGACGTGTCGACTTTAAACTCGCCATCTCGAGAATAAAGTTGATATATCGTGGCGACTTTAATCTCGACATTCCAAAGTTTGGAGAAAAGAGCAACCGCGCTCCACAGATGCAGTCTGCGTTTTAAGAGTGAAGGTAGTCTTTGACGTGCTGCAACTGTATAGGATTCTGTGCATGTATCCTGTGCAGCGGTTGGCTCTCTTGAACTAATTTAAACTTTATTGTCCACACGTCGAGATTAAACTCAACATGACATTTCAACTTTATTCTTGAAATGGCGAGTTTAAAGTCGACAGGGCGAGTTTAAAGTCGACATGTCGAGTTTAATCTCGTCATGGCAAAAATATTTTTTCTCTTCATGTGTGGCCCTAATACTCCGTCGTACAAATGTGAGTACTCAAAGAAAACAGTTAGCTGGCTCCCAAGTTGAATGCACACTTTGATGCTGTATAAGACAACCTTTTGTGAAGCAAGAGCAGCATAATTCTCATAAACAGAGGAGAATAATAATAATCCTAGATTTTTCTTTTAATACAGTTGCCAAACTCAGCGAGAGCCATCGCTCTGTTGAACCTTGCATTCCCCCTGCTCTTAGCAGTAATGATTTTATTTAATTCGCATAAATAAGATCATTGACACCACCCTAAATATGATTGGTTTATCTCTGGATGGGTGAGGCAGCATCCAGAACTAAGCCTTAGATCCAGTTCCAACCAGGTTATTTAAGGAAGTATTCCCTCTGATTTCTTAGACTTAGACTTTTAGACTTAGACTGTATACAAAATGAAATTTTGTTTTGTACAGCTCTCATGAAATTCTTAAAGTGCAGCAGTGATCAAATGTAAACAGTGTGGGAGATTTCCTCCTCAATTTTAGATGTGATTAATCTAGCCCTGTTACAGGGATGTGCACCTAAGGCTTTCAAGGTAGCTGTAATTAAACCTTAATTAAACAGTCTCTTGACCCAGATGACTTGGTCAACTATAGACCCGTATCCAATATTCTTTTCTCATCTAAAACTCTCGAGAAAGTAGTTTCCAAAGAAGTGGATGACCACTTACACCAAGTGGATGACCACTTACACCATACTGGACTTTTTTGAAGTTCAGGTTTTAGAGCTCATCATAGCACTGAAACAGCTCTGGTGAAAATTACTAATGATATTCTAATGGCCTCAAATAACAGACTTGTATCTGTACTTGTCCTATTAGATCTGAGTGCTGCATGTGAGACATTTGAGCATGATATTCTTTTAGAAAGACTTGAATATGTTTGTAGGAATTGATGGAACTGCACTAGGGTGGTTTAAATTTTAATTATCTGACAGATTTCAATTTGCTTATGTTAGTGATAAATCTTCCTCTTGCTCCAGGGTCACCTGTGGAGTACCGTAGGGATCAGTGCTAGGGCCAATTCTCTTTGCTATATCTAAGTCATATATGTTCAGAATTATTATTATTTTACCCATTATTATTAGGATACCCAAACTGGGTGTTTGTCAAATCAACAAGAAAATCCAAAAGACAGAACATAACGATGAGAAAAAAAAAAATTGGCATCCTGTAAATCTCTGAAAAACTCCTGAGGATTTTCTCCAAACACAAAATCCCAGTACATTTAAAACAAAAAAAAAAGACCCTTAAACAGAGACTAGTGCAAAAAATAGAAATAATTTATCCAGGGGTGATGCTGAGAAACTAGTCCATGCATTTGTTACTTCAATGCTGGACTATTATAATTCTTTACTATCAGGCAGTCCAGAATTTGTTAAAATCTTTGAGCTGATTAAAAATGTTGCAGCCAGAGTTCTGATGAAAAAGAAAAATATCATATTTTTCATGTCCTAGCTTCTCTCCATTGGCTTCCTGTTAAATCCAGAATAGAATTTAAAATCATCCTTCTGAAATATAGAGTCTTAACTGACCAAGCTCCATCTTGAGATCTGATTGTTCTTTATGTTCCTAACAGAGCACTTCACTCTCATTCTGCAGGTTTACTAGTGGTTCATAGAATTTCTAAAAGAAGAATAGGAGGCAGATCTTTTCATTATCAGGCTCCTTGCCTGTGGAACCAATAACAAGTTTTAGTCCATGAGGCAGACACCCTGTCTACTTTTAGGGCAAAGCTAAAAACTTTCATTTTTGATAAAGCCTATAGCTTGAGTGGCTCTGAGTTTGAGTGGCTCTGAGCTGCTATATGCTTAGACTGCGGGAGCACATACATGTAGGGACCCCTTTTTTCATATCTCTATTCTCCCATCCTGAAGTAATTTTTAGTTCATTCTCTAAAACCATCACCCAAGGACATCATCATCCAAGTTGTTTATTTGGTTTTGCTATGATCTAGCGGAAGATCCAATCCACTGCTCGATTGGATCTGCAGATAAAAATCAATAGGGAGCTATACTTTAATGATTGTGGGAGGATCACTGGACCTTTTTTTGTTTGGACTTTTAGACTCACTTAAACAAACTAACCTGTTGACACCTTGAACTGAAAATTTGGAGCCGAGCATAGGCGGATCTACTGGGGTGAATTCCACTGGATTGCACTTTTGAGCTGGATCTGAACAAACTTGAATGTAGTGTTATTAACAGAAATTCAGGTTTAAAGGGTGCACCCCAGAATTTAATTATAGAACCAAGTTGAAGGGTGAAATACTCACTTTAATTTTTAATTATGTTATTTTCTTCCTCTTGCTACCAACCAATGTTTTTTTTTTTTTTTCATTCATATTTTCAAATATGAAAAGCTGGCATTACTTTATATCTAATCTTGTGTCTCTGAGTCTCATTTTAAACACCTCACTTTTGCTTCAGCAGACAAACCAACCAATTTAACTAACAAATCATCACGGCCCTACCCATAATCCTTCCTGTGAGCTACAATTGCATTACCTCCTCGATAGGCGTCAAATGCTGCTAAATCCTGTTGATCATCTTTTCCATAAGGTCATGTGTGTGGAGGTAGAAAACCCTCTCAAACGTGTACTGTAGAACAGTGGGCCCCGAGGACCCGTGCTGCTCTAAATACATTTACACCTACAGACTAACTCTAAAATGTATTTCAAGTATTGAATAATATTATATCTAAACCAAAACAACACAAATCGTTATGTTACCAAATATAATAAGTTATTATTAATTGAATAAGTATGACATTTAACTATGTTAATGCCATGTAAATACATCCCTTTTTTAAATGGCAAACATGAGGGTTTTGTACTGATGTGACTCACATTCAATTGGGAAACCAAAGGGAGTCCCTTTTCTCTCTCTGACTGAGGCACTTTTGGCTGCTAACCCCCTATCAGTGCTTTTGAGGTGTTTGCAGCAGCCCTCACTGCCTGCTGAAGACAGTTAGCTCATAGAGATCGGTGCTTTCGCATTGTTAATAAAGTCTACAACAAGACAAAACAAAATTGTTCCCTCTCTGACATCAGGTACTGCTTACGACCAAGTCTGACTGCCTGTCAGGCATACACTTGCTCACTCACTGCTGACTGAAGACAGTAAACTAAGAGTTATCATTGTTTTCATACTGTTGCCAAACCCGCCAACAACAGAAAAAAGCACTAGATTCGTCACTAGTTGCTTTTTTAAAAATAAGCTACTAGAGAGGTCTGTAATCTCAAATTTTTAAGTTAGCAACAGTGTTTCTTACTGTGGGGTGATTTGCAGACGGAATGATGCATTTTAAGTTGGAGAAAAGCTGGTATACCTGATAATAACACAATTATACATGTGTTCAATGCTATTAAAAAATAACTTGGCTTTTAAGAGTGACTATCAATTTACAAGAAATATCTTCTTTTTTGTACTTGGTCCAGTAGCTCATTAGCCACTACACAAAATTAGATGATTACATTAAAATTACAAAATGTTAACTGGTTTCTTACTAAATATAATGGTTAAGAGTGTATTACTATTAGTATTCATGCAATAATTTTAGGTTCTTCTTTTTCTGGAACAATAATAAACGGTTTCATCTGCAGCTGGTAATTAATGCACACATATTTGCTTTTTTTAAGTTAGTGTACAGTATTATTACTTTTACAGCTGGAATAATTTGCATTTCAGGAAATGTTGACCCATTTGGCAATGTAAAGCTACATATTTTGTTACATATTTTTATTTGTGAATTCTTTTATAGACGTACTGCATTCAGAGCGTTTTTTTTAAGTATCAGGGGGATTATGGGGCACATTTAAAACTTCTGGGAGAACTCAGTTCTTATTTTTTATTGTTGGTTTGAATGTTAAAAACTGAATGAATTAATTAATTTAATAATTTATTAAGATTCAGAAGAAAACTGGACATGATAGAGACAAGGCTAAGATATCTCACCTGAGAAACCAGGGGGACATTTGCATATGAAGGTAGGAGGAGATATTGGCTGACTTGTGGAAATGCATGTGGCTCCATTAAGACAACTGTGTGGCTGAATCAGGCAGGCATCCCCTACATGCTGGCAAAACTCTCCAATCCATCCTGGAGTACAAAAACACTAAAGACATACTGTATGTTATCTGTATGCTGCGTGGCATGGGACAGAACACATTTGACCATTGCAAGAATACAATGATATTTCTGCATGTATTAGAGTAATATTCATCTATATTTTAGCACATTACATGTGAAATAATGACCTCTAAGGGTAAAGATATTAAACTTAATTTTCAATTATCTGAGCTTTCTTATATCTCTAAAATAAATGTAAGAAAAAATGTCTCACAAATAAAAAGCTCACTTCACTATAATTAATGAAAACCAAACATTCTTACATATGTTGATTGATACCCCCCCATTTATATATTGAATCTGCTTATTGCCCCAAAGTTAGTAACAATATTTTAACTTGATATAATAAATCCCAAGCATTGTATAAAAAAATATCTAACCCAAAGCTATTTTAACCCCTAGTCAGTTTTCATATATTGCCAAAAATATAATGTATTATTGTCTGTCTGTCCATATCCATCTATCTATCTATGGTTTGTATAGAAGTATAGTAGGTTTGTATACAAGAGTGGTAGAAAGAGAGTTAATATTCAGAATTTACAAAAAAACAAACAAAATGAGAAGTTATTTTTGCAGCTTTCTTAAAGCTATGTTGGAAATAAATAAATAAATAAATAAATAAATAAATAAAAGAAGGTCTTATAAGATGAGACCAAATTTGAAATGCAAAGTCTAAATTCTGACTAAGAGAAGCGGCTGAAAAATATCACTGATCTCTTTTTATTCACTGGATTGCTGATTGCCCAAAAAAAAGGAAGCCACTGTCCGCTATGCCAGTACTCTCCATTCCCACTGAGACGCGCATTAAAAATGCCTACCGGTGTAGCATTTGGCTGCAAAAACAAGCAGTTTGCCATCTGTGGAAAGATCTTTCACAGGTAATCTCACAGTCAGTGGATGTGCTAACCAAGAAAATCCATATATACTCTGAGGTTTCCTATAGTATAGTATGTAGCCTAACATTAGTCTGGCTATCTTGAATGCACTCGAAGATATTGACAGAGTGAGCCATTGACATTGTGTCTAACGTTAGAAAATAGAATTTAAAGTAAATAGAAAATAATCCACTGTGAAATGTCAATGTAATAATGCGTTACTAAGTCGATGATGCCATTGTTCCTGTAGAGTCTGTTGTATTTCTCATTTGAAAAAGGCATGTTCTGAAATAAATTGCATGTTATTTTGAGGGGAAAAAAACAACTCAACATTTGAACTATATATATATATATATATATATATATATATATATATATATATATATATATATATATATATATATATATATATATACACAATGAATCAGCAGTAAAAAGACAGATGGAGACGGTTCACTCTGTCTTTTTCCAGGACCAGGTTTAGCCACAAGGCTTGGCTAACTGCATGCCTTAAGGCTAACACTTTATTCTGCAGCCTTGACTGCTTGCCTCCTTTTCAAACGTCAGGATCTGACCCAGCATGGGTAAAGACAGGTAGGACTGATCTAAAGCTCTTTTTAGAAAAGGCAAGGAAGCATGAACAATCTGGTATTCACATTGAGAATAAAATATTATAGTGTACTTTTTCGAGATGTTTGTTCATTTGCATGGTTGCTCTTAAACACATTCTTATAAAGTTGTTTTTAAGAGAAAAAAAGACATAATGCTGACTAATAGCTTCTCCATTATAAAAATGGTACATTACTTTATAAGGTTTGTGACACCATATTAGAACATGCAAAACACAGCCTTAAGTGATTTTATACATTTGCTGTTGTTGGCAATTATATAAATATACATTTTTTTTTTGGTTGTTTTTTGTTTTAAAATTGGCAGCAAAGCCTCAAAAGACTGGGTCTTTGTTCTTCTACTGCAGACACACTTTACTTTGGATTAACACTATAGAGCAGGCATCCCCAAACTCGGTCCTCGAGGGCAGCTGTCCTGCAGGTTTTAGATGTTTCTCTGCTCCAGTACAGCTGATTTTAATTGATAGTTGATTAACAGGCTTTTGCTCTACTGCAATCATCATAATCAGCTGTGCTAAAGCAGGGAAACCTCTAAAACCTGCAGGACAGCGGCCCTCGAGGACCGAGTTTGGGGATGCCTGGTATAGAGTGTCTATAGATGGGTTTTGTATTTTTTAGGGGAATACACCTTTTACAGGGGACCTAACTAAGGCTAAAGCAGTATCCATACCGATGGCCTGCATTTTGTTAAAAAATACTAATGTCTCACCTTTCAATAAATTGTTTATGGCGTTGGCCCTTGCAAAGAAACATAAAATTATCAGTTGCCATAATGGCTCTGTATAAAAGCTTCATATAAAATGTCTTTCATGGTGACTTTGATTTTTTCAAAACTGCTATTAACAGCTTAAGCCTCAGGTCTTGTTCGGAGACAAATCCAAACATTTGAGAAAACAGAGCTTTAAAGAGTGAAATTAGTTTGCAATCTGATTGTATTAAAATGTTTTAACATAAGCAAAGTGACTCATAAATTGAACTATATTGATTTTGTCTGTGGATTTTCTTTTAGTGATGCTCTAATAGTCTACTTTTTCTATTATTTCATAATAAAAGGAATTTTCTATTCAGGGTATTTTTTGTCATGATTCTTATAGGAACAAAATAATACACACTAATTCCAGGTATGTTTCTAGGTGTGTGCTCTACCTTGCAAAGATGACCTTGTATCCAAATCCTTATTAAAATTGAGCCTGAGTCACAACATGTGGGCTTTGGTATATTTCATTAGGATGGAGACATTGAATTACCCACCTGATATCCGCCAATTATGCTCAAACACAATCCCTCATTTAGGCAGTTGATATTGAGCAGTCCACAGTAGTCAATTATTTCTTCACAGTTCTTCCCAGAAAAGCCACTTAGACATCTGTTGAGAGGGGTCAGTTTCGTCAAAAATCAATTCACCCAGAACCAAAGCAATAACAGACCACATGTTACAGTTTCTTTGTGAAATACATGTGGTTCTAATTTTCAAATGTATTGGTTAATAATTGTAACTTGGAGCCAATTGAAACTGTTTGCACACCATTTACTTCAAACACATTTGACCAGGACTCTCAACCATGTGGCTTTATAATACAGAAACAAATGAGAGTTATTATTATTATTATTATTATACATAACCAATCCTGACTGAATTCTAATGTGACAAAAATAACAAAATGATAAACGATCCATAAACCTTTCATATACTCTATGTATGGGTCTTCTTCATCTCAAAAATTATGAGTCAAGCGGGAATAATGAAATATCTTATTTCTGAGCTGCAGCATTTTGCTTTCACAGTCAGCAAAAGCAGCCCAAAAAGGAAAATATTATATAAAATTGGGATTAAACTTTATGCCGATATGACTTCCGAAACTGCTTCTTTTTTTACTTTCTCTAGGTGTCCTTTAAAAAATAAAAATAAAAAAAAATGGGGGAACAAAAGGAACAAAAAGCACATGTAGTTCGATTTGTATTTGGGTTGATTAAATATTGATGTACTTCTTATGTTTCATAAGAACAATGCTCTAATAAAAGCTCAGTCTTTGAAAGTATGAGTGAAACTGTTTTAGAAAATATGACCTCAAAGAAACTTATGAAGTATATCCATTTTGAACTTACATTTTTGGCATGTTTCACCAAGATTAATAGGTTGGTATTGCTGAGCATAGCTTTCTTTATTAAATAACCTTATGCAGTTAAATGTTACCATTACACTATAGGGTTTTCAAATACTAGCCAAACAAAAACTGTGTCTTCTTTATACTTTTCTATCATATGATTTTTTTTTTTTAAGTTCTCTAGAAATAATTCCAAAAGATCACTATTGAGATTTTTCAGTTTTAAATTCTTTTTTTCTTAAACTGGTATAAAAATAAAGGTATTTTTCATATTTTTATTATAGAAAGAAAAATCTAGCTTCACACCAATAGTGGAGCCAAAATTCATAAATGTAAATATATAACTACTAATATTTCATAAACTTAAAAATACTTCTAAATGGGTTTAGGTATGGGCACATTTAAAAGTAAGAATTGTTTATGTATGTCTCAAAAGAAATAAATGGATCTTTGGTAGAAAAAATATTTTTAGTCAACTAGCAAATTAGAGCAAATTAACGACGATTACAGTATTAATACTTTCACATGGTATGGTTAATAAGTAACCGTATTACCATCTTGGTCCAGTAAAAATTTGTAAAAGTGTTAAATGCTTTATGAATCTATATATAACTCATCAAACGCATGTGATCTAAGCTAAAAGATCTCTGTGTGCTCACTCTGTATCTTGCAAGCATTCATACCTGAAGTTAAATGTCCACAAGTGTTTAGATCACACAACATGCATGTTAATGCCATGTATGAACAGAGCCTCTGAGGGTGACCCCATTAGATACCACTCTGTGTTTTACCTGCAGAAGTAATCCTTTCCCCTAGACACAAAGGTGCCATTGTTGAGGCAGGGCGATTGGTTGCACATGCTCTGCTGCTTCTTGCATTCTGGGACCAAACTACCATCTGTACAAATACACTCAGAGTCCTGCATAAAGAATAGAAGAAAGAAGGTTATCTGCAAGCTTAAAGAAATGTAGAGAATACCAGACCCATAACGAATAGTGCTTTATAAACAAAAACATGTAGAAAACACAGAGCAGTAATCAAGCTCTAACCTCTTTAGTTTAAAAAGATATATATATTTACAGTGTGGAACACAAATATTTTACACATTCAAATTTTCTCTCTGTGTGTCTCTATGAGAAATCCCCATTGAAGCTTGAGCTTCTGTGCAAAGTAGGGCCCTGATTGGATGACATGCAAAAATAGTTTTTTTTTTCCAGCTTTTATTGTCATTACACTGTCACAACTACAGAGCTGTAATGAGCAGGGACTGGACCCAGAATACGAACCAGCACATGTCAGTGACGTTTGAAACAAGCTTTATTGAAAAATAACACTAAAGCGGGGGTTCGGGGGTGCGCTGCTCGCTCCAAAGCAGGAAAACTCTTGATTGTGTGGCTGGGGAACTGACTTGATGTCGGAGAGCAGTGTGGATATGGGATCCGACTTGGTCCGGGGCTTTTGGGGGTTAATACTGGAGTGGCCAACAGGCACTCCGTTCGGGGTTATCCCGGGGCGTTATCCAGAGAGGTCCGGGGCCCAAACACAGAAAGACAGATACCCAGCGGCACTACAGGTAGGGTTATCCAAGAGAGGAGGTCCAGGTCCAGTCCATATCTGTTAACAGGCAGGCTCAGAGATTTCACAAGGGTTAGGGGGGAAATCCAGTACTCACAAGCAGGCAGGGTCAGTTTCATGAGAAGGCTACACTGGGTCAGGCAGGTAGGCAGGTCCAAGGAAAGAATCGGGTCAGGCAACAGACAGGCAATCAGAGGGGGAAATGCTGGAATGCTTGTGCAGGTGGCTAGAGACAATCTGGCACTGGCAGCTGATCTGTACAGGGTTTATATGCAGTGAAAACAGGTGGAACCAGTAAAGGCCGATTGCAGGGGAGCAGGTCTGATAGATGGTGGATCAGACCAGAAACAGAGCCGAGACTGTCACACAGAGCAACTAAATTCACTCTCTGCATTTAACCCACTGATATCTATTTCTACACTGGATTGCTGATAGCCGCAAAAAAGTGAAGCCACGGACCGCCATATTGGTAGTCCCCACTCCCACGGAGACGTGCCATAAATATACCAACGTGGGTAGCGTTTGGCTTGAAAAACAAGCAGTTTGCCAGCTGTTTCACAGGTAATTTCACAGTCAGTGGATGTACTAACCAAGAAAATCCATATATACGCTGATTTATCCCATAGTACAGTATGTAGCGTAACATTAATCTGACTGTCTTGAACTGACTCAAAGATATTGACTGAGTAAGAAACTAGAGTAAATAGAAAGTAATTCACTGTGAAATGTCAATGTAGTAATTGTTTATCAAGTGGATGATGCCGCCATTTTTGTAGCGTTTGTTGTGTTTCTCATTTGAAAAATTTATGTGCTGAAATATATTCCGAAATATATATAAATGTTATATTGACGAAAAAAAGCAACTCTAAAATCTTTAACGGCCAAAGCACAGACACAACATAAAAGTATGGCATCATGCATGCACAATTTGCAAACAGGAAAATACTATAGCGTTAACAGACATGTACTTGTAATTCAGTCTAGATGTGTGATCTTGAAAATAAATGTAATATGTAATTACCACAACAATGTAATCAATATATGTATATTACAAGTACATCATCGATTAAGATAGACTTCATTGACTTTATAATAACTATAGAATACAATGTGCCTATTTTTTTTAATCATAAGTTAATATACTTATGCTATGAAACAGCAAGTGTATCAAAGTGATGAATTTAGCTTTATTTTAAAAGTCTTAAGCCCCCCTGAAAATGAGAACATTATTGTTGTTTGATACTGTAGTGCACATATTGTTTACATTGCGACTGGTCTAACTAGGGAGTACCAATATGGCGGCCGGTGGCTTCACTTCACCCCATACTACCAACGGCAATCCAGTGAATAAATAGAGATCAGTGATTTAACCCATCCCCTTGGGGAGCAGTTGGCTGCCATGTGCGGTGACCGGGGAGCAGTGTGGGGTTACGGTCTTTTGCTCAGGGACCTAGAGTTGCAGTCTGTGGGAGTGAGGGCCTTTGGATTCCAAGTGTAAAGTCCTAACCATTAGGCTGCCATTTCCCTTAAATCAGCTCCTGTAGGGCTAAGCCTCTTATACAGTCTATAGAGCAGGGGCAGGATGGGGGCGGGTCATGAAGATGGCTACTCAATGCTGGTTGGCCAAATTTGCTTAAAGATTTGACTGCAAGTTTTCCTCACGAGACTCAGCTGAGAGATGAAAAAGCGATCATTCAGTCAGGACAATTGTTTGTGCTGAACTCTTGCAGTGGGTTCAGAAGTTATTATTTCAGAAATTTTCATTGAAGCTATTTTGACCCGTTCTAGTTATGTAAATTATGTGTTTTAACATTTGATAATGCAATACATCACGTTTGGATAATTAACACCATTGAGCCTCCTTCTCTCAGAGAGCAGCAGCCTTAACTGCCATCATGAATAGTAAGGCATAGTAATGCTGGGCTCACACTGAATGCGATGCAGTTTTGTTGCTGCAGAGCAGGCGCCACAAGGAACCCAAATTTTTAAAATCAATGTGCACAGCACCAACCTACACTAACTTGACTATAAGAAACAACAAGGCAAAACAGAAACAGAGAGGCTATTAGTGAAGAAAAAGGGATATTTAAGTGCCCCATTAATGAGTTTTTAAAACAACTCTCAGAAGTGTGAACCCACATTTATATTTTTTCCTCAAAAGAAACATTTCTGTATCTAAAGCCACAGCAGGGTCAGCCTGGTTGCAGTGGTACGTGTGAATTATTTTCCAGAACACCCCGGGACCAGAGTTGGACATCAGCTGCATTGCGATTTATGTGAGCCTGGCGTAATGAATGACTTAGACAAATCTATCCATACACCAAGTTCAACAGTTAGATATGTAGCCTGTGGATAGCAGGCAAACTTCAAACTGAGCCAACTTGCTTAGGAATATTTTTTTGATTCATGCATGTGCTTGATAAACCCTAATAATACCTGCCTGTTATGTGTTAATACTATAACAACTACAAAAATGCATGGCCTGGAACGTTGGAGACAGTAACAAGAAGAACAATTTGGTGATAGACCTGCATCTCAACAGCAAAGGACAAACTTTTTATGGCCATGATGTACAGAGAGGACAGATGGTTTGAAAGGATCATGGAGGAAGCCATTTTTGTCAGAGAATGTAGGTAAGATTTTTTAGAAGTTTTCTAGAGGGTGTATGATCATGAAGTGCCAGTATCATAACAAAATATTCAATTAAATTGTAGTACCAAAGGTTTAGAGATCTTATCCTAAAAATTCTGTGATTAAATAAATATTGATAATGAAGCTAAAGTAGTTGTTACCACATAGAGACATTTTAAAATAATTACCTTCATAGTCATAAACTTGTATGTTACTTAATCTAAAATATTTTTAATTATATTAAATACAAGCCAAAAAAGCTAAGCAAAGAAAAGTAGCCAAATGTATTGTACTGGCTGAATATTTGTAACATTTTGCAAATCTTTACTTTTTGCTAACTGCACACTACTTTATAAGGTGGCACATATATTTTGTAAAGTGTTTGCAAATCTAAGATACTTAATGAATTGCATCTATGTTAAGCACCAGTTATAAAAGAACATTAAATGTTTTATAAACATGTATTCAGTTAGTCTAACAAGGGCTGTTAAAGCTAGAAGTTTTGTTCAAAAAGTGTAATAACAAAATGAAAAACACAATTCACACAGAAAGAAAATCAGAGTGCAACTGCATCACCAGAAAATCCTCAAGAAATTTTGAGACATTACTGCCTTCGCAAAACGCACTGCCATAATAAAATTTCCATTGAAAGGTGAAAATTGCATAAGGCACCCAATTACAAAAAAACTTTGATGAGAGATATTTCAAGCTGGCACTTAAATATGTGCAGGGTCATTTAATCAAAATGCTAGAGAAAGCAGACACACCTCCTTTCTACCCATCTTCTGAGAGGAATATTAATTGCGAGACTTGGGAGACTTCAGAAGGAAGCCATTTGATCTTGTTTCAGGACGCTATTATTTTCCAGATGTCAATTTTGTTTATGTGCCACTGAGATAAAGCAAAAAGAGGGAATACAGTCCTTACATGCCCCCCTGCAGTGCAGTTTTGTTCCTCGATACATGAATATGACAAGCAGCTGACGTCAATTCCAGGGTCTGGACAGTAACAGAGCAATTCTTTAGGAGTCTCTCTACATGTGCTGACATTTCTGCATTGATATGGGTCACACAGGTCTTTCCTCTTTTCACAGGGACGGCCTGTAAAGTGAACAACAAAAGATTATTACAAGTTCGTACAGGGTGTTAATGTAAAGAAAACACAATGTGCAACACCCAGAGAAAAGCATACATTTTACAGTAGAAGTGAGAATTTTCTCTGACAAGGGTATGACTCTTAAATTAAATTAAACAAATTTAAAATTGTACTATATGTTATTTTTTATATGATACACGTTTGGTGCCTTGCTTTAAATAAATAAGTGATGAACACTAGTTCGAAGTTAGAATTTGAGATTAGAATTAATTTCATTTGAGTAATTAAAAAAGTGGAAACATTAGCACACATTAAAAAAACAACAACCTTAGGCTTACAAAAAGTCAAAAGGGGGGAATTCACAACACTGCCACTATAATTTTTTTTTTTTACTTCTATGCCTGGTTTTTTTAGCAAAAAAAGTCAACTTTTTTTTCTCATTGGGCACTAAGTCATTAGGATATTCTTCTTGGGCAACAGTGATTTTTCACCTCAAAACTCTTCCATACCATTTCTAGCATGCTACTTTATTTTTTTAAACTTAAAGACTGTTCTTAAATTAGACCTAAAGTGTCTTTTCTACAGTGGGTTATTTTGTGACTCCTGCATCAGTTACTACAGGAAGGGGACACCATTATTTCATATTTTATCTAATTGTGAACTGTGGTTTGCTGGTTTAGTCCCAAAAGCTGAGAAGTGGCTTTATACTCCCTTGCAAAGATTCCATTGTCAGTTTATATCTATTCTTAAAATGCTTCAAATTGTGAAATTATTTTTTTTTTCTTTTTTTAGATCATTTATTGAGATAATTTTTTTGCCAGTTATCTCTTGTTTCATCAGGTCTACAGGGGTTTGTTTAGAAGACTAGCTATTTCAACAAAATGTGGTTAATTGCACACAAACGCCCTATGCAAAACACAGAAATAAACAACAAGGGGAGAAATACTGTATAATACTGTGGTCTCTCTTTATGCAAAGCTGCAGCATCTGCATAAAAATAAAAACCAAGAGTTCATTGTTAAGAAAAGAGTCCTATTAAGTTTGGTTGGCATTTTTAAGTCTTGAGGCAGCTACAAAGTATTGTGATGCCAGGCATGTCACAGTCCAGTCAGTCACAGAGGCAAAAGAGTTTGGAGAGACCGAAAGAGAAACACTTTCGATCTCCCCAAAACACCATCACACACACAACTTTAGTTAACTTCAGATCTTTCATACAATAAAACCCATTAAATGAACAACTTAGTATGAAAGGAATTTGTTTCTCTGTCCACAAAAGTAACATATTAGTACTTCCACCTATAATTAAATAGAAGTAAAAAGCTGTAAACAACGTTGTAGTTTTAAACTCTGTTGGGGTTTCTTCCAGTTTCTTCCCCAAAATCCACGCCAACTTCCAGCCCCTAAAGTGATCCTGGGCGTGCAGATTTTTTACTCTGACTCCACCCTTTCAATTAACTATAGGATCTGACCAGGAGATGGCACTTCTCTTTAGATCTTAATGTCCACAAATCATGATGGAAAGAATATTTTAAACAAAGATTGATGTTTAAAAAGGAATTTTAGGGAAACAGCCAAGGACCCATCAAAGAAAGTATTTTAAAAATAACTATGTTATATTTTATCTTAACATTAACACAAAGTTAGAAGTCTAGGACTCAAATTTCATTGATAAGTTCAGACCATTTAATCAAAAAAAAGAACTTTGGTTAGGTACCTCATCTGTAACAAGTATGCTTTTATAGTTGTTCTTAAAAGAATTAGAATCAAGAATCAAAGCATCCAGAAACAAAACAAGGAATCAAAATTGGAACCAGAGTTGTACAAATTGAGACAATGGCTAACCATACTGAAATCATGCTGTAGTTTGTAAAGAAAGTTTACCAAGCTGAGTCTGCACTCAGTGAAAACTGTCAGTGTAGAGCTCTCTCATTTTAAAACCTCAAAAAGTACATTTTTTTCATTAATACATTGATTCTTGATCATTTAATTGCTGATTCAAGATCTACATTATTGCTTAAAAATAAAATAAAAATAAAGTTGTAAACCTTTTTGAGTATATATGCGTAATAACATCTCCAGTTATTGCTGCTTCTTGTGGCATAGTCGTAGCTGTTGCACATACAGCAGACCACTCCTTCAACAATCCTAGGGTGATCTCAATAGACCTACTTTAGACCAGGACCCAGAAATGTATAATTACTCAGGTAAATTAGTATCAAAATGTGTCCTGTGCTTATTAAAGTTGGTTCATGTTAGTGTAGTTATCTGATCCACATGTGCATCACAAAACTAAATTATGTCACCTAGTCACTGCCTTGTCACCATTGTGTTTCTTACAGGGATTCCTAAATGATTTTAAGCTCTAGACATGCAGTAGCAATATAACAAAAGCAAGATGGCAAAAATGTTTTAAAAGAAACGATAAAGACAACATGAAAACAAATCTAATAAATATTTCATTAAATTATATATAAATAATGTTTATACTGTTATGGTTACTTTTAGCCCTCTTTAACCATTTAATGCAATTCTAACAAGTCAATGCTGAAGCTCATTTTATACCAGCATATAAACTCAGCATTTTCTTCAATAAGCAATTTCACAAATTTTACCTATATCTGCTTAACCAGATACAAGGTGTTGGATAGTGATGTTGTGTGCAAAAGATAAAATTAGATTAAATTTGCTGCAGTTTCAAGGTGAATAAAATTTCATGTTATTCCCTTCTGAGAGTTTTCATTTTTTTGTGCTCATCACATGGTGCCTGCACATTTATCTTTCCTGTGACTCTTTCTTTGCAGATTTGCTTTAATCCCCTTGGTGATACAAGTGTTCAGGTCCCAGAGGCTCCTTGCTTCCTCCTCTGTGGGCATCAATCTTAATGTACACAACTTTAGAATGTGCTTTTGCATCACCTCCTTTTTCAAGTTTCTAGAACTGGTTCACTTTAAAACAAATATGTCCAGGCACATTTGCTTAGGACATGTAATATAATCAGTCTAAAAGTAACTGCCTAATTTCTTCTCATAGTAATCAAGCTATAGACATGTTAACACATATTATTGAACTTATGTAAACTCACAAACATATCGAGTCACTCTGAATAGCTGAATAATTTAATAAGGGTAATCACAGCATTGTGCACATTAAAAAGGTCTCGATTTGATAATTCTCCCATTAAGTTAATCACCACTTAATGATTATTGCCCCATAAATGTGGTAATACCTTGCAACAAATACTCTGGAGGTAGTGCAAAGGAAAGACCAATCAAAAGAAAATCTTATTTGAAACGTCCCATGAGTTCAACTCATTATTCTGTGCACATAGGCTTTGGCCTATGAGGGCACCCAGCAATGGAGCAGCCACTAAATTTCAGTTGATTAATGGGGCAACAGCTAAAGAGAAGTAGAGCAAACAAAAGGTTTGCAGAACTCCCAGGAAGCTGATGGGACAGCAGGATACCATGACAATGCAAGCACTTTTAGCATTGTCTACTTAAGGAGAAACTATATAAGTTTTCACTGAAAAATATCTTTTAATTAGCCTTTTTATTTGACCCATTACAACTAAAACATTGCTTGATGAGCAGACTGACACCTCAGTAATTCAGCATCTAAATATGCTTTGGGTCAGAAGTTCCCGCGCTGTTCTGCGGATATGACGTCAAGCATGTCCATGTTACATGGGTTCTACCTAGCAAACAATTGAGGCATTATATTTAAGTTGGATACTTGGAAGTGACCAGCATCCATCACAACTAAGACACCAATGGCAACTCAACATAAGCTCAAAAAAGTGAAATAAAAACCTTGTCAAGTACAAGCAGGCACTACAAGAATGAGCAGATGAGAACTGTAGCTCTGTGTTTTGGCCACAGGTGGCACTATCATTAGAAACTGCTGTAACGCCTCTTTAAGAGTAAAGCATCAATTAAAGCTTATTTGATAGTAGGTCAAATCAAAAAGAACTTGTAACAGCAAAAAATGTGTATGAGTTTAATAAATTTGTTGAATAAAAGTACTACTAAATCCACAAAAATAATTTTCACCCACTATACAGTTTAAAAAGATTTACTTATATAAATTAATTACATAGTTTTAATCACCCCAAATTTCTCAAATAGGTACTCTTCCTGGACTCTCTTCATGTAGGTAAACACAAGAAAAATCTTGTTTTTTCAAATATTTTCTTTCACAATAAAACTCATTTTCCAACTTTGAATATATTCATTGGATGACATTTTTCTATGGGGAATTCCCACTGAGAAACCTTTTTTAAAAATCAGTTCTTATTTAACTTGTTTGAGCAATTTTAGAGAAAGCCATTTAGTTCACACCTATGCTCATCCTTAAACTACATGTATGCTCTATCCACCTTCTAACTTAAGCACTGATAGACTACTGGTACATACAGTATATTCACCCCAGCATTTTCCCGTGACAAAATAATGAGAAAAAAAGGACATACGGTTGCCTTTTTTTCATCTGCACTTCTGTCATAATCAACTCTTGTAAGAAAGAATGCCAGATATTACCTTCTCTGGGCAACCTTGAAACCACATTTTTTTTTTAAATAATCTCAAAGCTTATGTTGGAAAAACATTACACCTCAGATTTTCACAGTAAAGTTTTCTTCATTCAATCAAATAATCAACAAAGTTTTAACATCCAGGTCAGTCTAAACAGTATCTGTGTCTCTAAGCCCAAGTGTTTACCATATTCATTAACCTAATTGTGTTTTGCATACCAACCTCTTTTACAATCGAAGCAGCAATAACCTGAAATCTATGAGGCCAGGGAAAGATTAGTAACATTTTTAATTTTCATACATGAGCATTCAATACTTTTTTACAATGACAAAATAGCAGTTACAGCCTTTATAAATGTTTTATAGTGAAGGGGAATTAGAATAAATTTGTGCTTAAAGGACCACAGTGTAACAAATTAAACTAAAATATTTCTGTTAATCATTTTTTGCAATGTCTGTCAAGCATAACTTCATAAAGAGAAGACAGATATGACAAGCTTTAGTTGTCAGTTTTGCAGGGTGGATTATGAGAAATATGTAAATACAGCTGTAAAATTTATAACTCTTTTTCTTTTCTCTCCATAATCAAATTAAAACATCATCATCAGCAGAAGTAATACTTTTCCAATTTTAATTAAACTAAAAATTATAAAGTTTATTGTATTAATCTTGACTTCTCAGTTACCTTTTAGCCATGGATCTAAACCATAGCATTTCACTGGTTCAGGGCTCTTACCAGCACATTTCAATGTAGCGGGCAGGTACACTGAAAGCTATCACTGTTACACCAAGATTAAAACAGAGAGCTAATTTTTTATGAATGCATCAGTCTTTGACCGATATCTGGGCTCCCTCTCCAAGGTTTCTTGCAACGCATCTCAGGGCAATGGCTCATTACGCTGGTAGTTGTCAAAATCACACTGAAATTAGGCCTATACGTTGAATTAAAATAAGTGCAGGCAATACAAGGGCAAGTATATTTATATAGCACAATTCAGTACAAGGACAATTCAAAGGGTTTTACATGGATTAAACAATAAGAAAAATTAAACAGTTGACCACAACCTTAAACTAATAAAATTGTATTTAACAGTTTGACTTCAACAGTCAAAGTCAGTTCTTAACAAATGTGTTTTTTACTTTGATTAAAAAGAACTCAGGCTTTCAACGCTTTTACAGACTATTGGAAATGTGCTCTGGATAAGTTGCATATAGAAACTAAGTGCTGCCTCTTCATGTTTGGTTCTAGTTCTGGGTGTACAGAGTAGGCTTCAACAAGTAGACCTGAATGGTCATGGAGGTTGATGCATTGACAGCAAATCCGTTATGCAGTTTGGTGCATAATTATCAGTGATTTATAGACTGACAGAAGGATTTTAAAGTCTATTCTTTGAGATACAAGGAGTCACTGGAAGTACTTCAGAACCAAGCTGATGTCCTTTACTTTCTTAGGTCCAGTGAGAACAAGAGCAGCAGGGTTTTGAATCAGTTGCAGCTTTCTGATGGATTTTCTAGGCAAACTTATGTATACACTTTTGCAGTAATCAATTCTACTAAAGATAAATGCAAGAATGAGTTTTTGTAGATCTTTCTGGGACATAATTTAATCTGGCATATATTTTCAAGCGATGAACCTATTGACTGCATTTATGTGCCTCTGAGGGTTCTGATCTGAGTCCATCATGACACCAAAATTTCAGCCATTATCAGTACTTTCTAGCTTTAGCAGCTGAAGCCGTGAGCTAACTCTGGATCTCTCCTTTGTTGGTCCAAAGATTATTACAATTAGTTTTGCTTTATTCAATTGGAGAAAATGATGGTGCATCCACATATTGATCTGATCTATGCATCTAGCCAACGCTCTGATGGGTTCATAGTCGCCTGGTGACATTGTGATGTTAATTGGTGTGTCGTCTGCATAGTTATGCTAACTGAACATGTTGTTTGCTATAATCTGAACTAAAGGGAGCATGTAGAAATTGAATAGGAGGGGCCCCGGCATGGATCCTTGTGAAGCCCTTGATGTGATATTTCTGGTCTCTGAGTCAAAATTGCCTACCAACACATAAAAGTCCATTCCTTCACCACCTTCGTATGGCTTTTCAGCACTCCCTCTTTTCTAACTACTGGGGCATTTCGCCATGGAGATTTCCTATCCCAGAGACAACTTTCATTTTAACTGGAGCAGTGGTATCAACGATGCAGAAGGGTAAGCCAAAGGTAAAGTTTTCTATTTTAATGTCCATGATAAAACGCTTTCTGGGAACATCTCTTTTGGTAATTAGATCAGTGGTTTTGAATTTTATGTCGAAGAGACAGATTCAGCTGTAGTGTTGGGCTGTATACAGGATCCAGTGTCCAGAGAGGAGACACTTCTGTTGGGACTGACAGTGTTGGGGTCCGAGGAGTGGCCACTGTGCTCCAAAGCAATGATTAATATGACCTATATTTCCCCATTACCTCCTCTAGCATTTTGGCTGTCTTTATCATCTGTTCATTCTGTTTAATTTCCCTTTTGAAGTACTTATATTTCAAGTCATCACATTCCAAGGCCTCAGCAGATTTATGTTTATCATTAGGAAGACTGTTTATCTGGTTTTCATTCACATCATATTCTTTGTTCAAGGAGTCAAAAATGTTGAAAGCAAAATATTTTGCAACTTAGCTATTCATTTGAAAACCACATCTCTTGATTATCCAGCAGATATTAAAGTTATCAATAAATCCAATTTATCTTTCAGAGCAGGCTTGTTTGATCCATTTATTTAGGTAGGAGACTGCTGAAGACTTCGTCTTCTGCTGAAGGTGACATATACAGAGCCCCTAATGAAAACTTTAAAATGAGTCTGTTCTGCAGTGTTAAGTAGAACAATCAAGTCTCCCTTTGATTATTGTGACTTCCTTTTAGCAACATCACTTAGTCTTCCAATGTGAATGACTAAGTTCATAAAGGTCGGATATGAATCTGTGACCTGTTTGAACCTCTTTCAGAGTTCAGACAACATACTACAGCCAACATTCACTATTTCTTTCTTTATATAAATAAAAAGATAATATACACTATATTGCCAAAAGTATTTGCTCACCTGCCTTGACTCACATATGAGCTTAAGTGACATCCCGTTCCTAATCCATAGGGTTCAATATGACGTCGGTCCACCCTTTGCAGCTAGAACAGCTTCAACTCTTCTGGGAAGGCTGTCCACAAGGTTTAGGAGTGTGTTTATGGGAATTTTTGACCATTCTTCCAGAAGCGCATTTGTGAGGTCGCACACTGATGTTGGACGAGAAGGCCTGGCTCTCAGTCTCCGCTCTAATTCATCCCAAAGGTGTTCTATCGGGTTGAGGTCAGGACTCTGTGCAGGCCAGTCAAGTTCATCCACACCAGACTCTGTCATCCATGTCTTTATGGACCTTGCTTTGTGCACTGGTGCACAGTCATGTTGGAAGAGGAAGGGGCCAGCTCCAAACCGTTCCCACAAAGTTGGGAGCATGGAATTGTCCAAAATGTCTTGGTATGCTGAAGCATTCAGAGTTCCTTTCACTGGAACTAAGGGGCCAAGCCCAGCTCCTGAAAAACAACCCCACACCATAATCCCCCCTCCACCAAACTTTACACTTGGCACAATGCAGTCAGACAAGTACCGTTCTCCTGGCAACCGCCAAACCCAGACCCGTCCATCAGATTGCCAGATGGAGAAGCGCGATTCGTCACTCCAGAGAACGCGTCTCCACTGCTCTAGAGTCCAGTGGCGGCGTGCTTTACACCACCGCATCCGACGCTTTGCATTGCACTTGGTGATGTATGGCTTGGATGCAGCTGCTCGACCATGGAAACCCATTCCATGAAGCTCTCTGCGCACTGTTCTTGAGCTAATCTGAAGGCCACATGAAGTTTGGAGGTCTGTAGTGATTGACTCTGCAGAAAGTTGGCGACCTCTTCGCACTATGCGCTTCAGCATCCGCTGACCCCGCTCCGTCAGTTTACGTGGCCTACCACTTCGTGGCTGAGTTGCTGTCGTTCCCAAACACTTCCATTTTCTTATAATACAGCTGACAGTTGACTGTGGAATATTTAGGAGCGAGGAAATTTCACGACTGGATTTGTTGCACAGGTGGCATCCTATCACAGTTCCACGCTGGAATTCACTGAGCTCCTGAGAGCGACCCATTCTTTCACAAATGTTTGTAAAAACAGTCTGCATGCCTAGGTGCTTGAATTTATACACCTGTGGCCATGGAAGTGATTGGAACACCTGATTCCAATAATTTGGATGGGTGAGCAAATACTTTTGGCAATATAGTGTATATATTTATGTATTATTTTTTATATTATTATTATTATTTTTAATGAGGCCTTTGTACTGTAGGATATTATGAATAAAGTGCCTTATTTTATTGGAAATAATGCTGCAAAGGTTTTGGAAGAGATAGTGCCATAATATACCAAAAATAAGCTAAATATATAGCCACCTACCTGAAAATCCAGGTTCACAAACGCATTTGAAGGAAGCTGGTGATAGTTGAACACATGTCCCATTTTCGCAAATTCTCTCACAGTTTGTTTTCCCAATGATTTCAGAGCAATTCACCCCTAAAACAAACAACACACAATCTTATGATTAAAAGGAAACATTAATTAATTGAAGTTTGCTTGTTAGCAAAAGTACCATTTATTTTTCATTTTCCCGAAGTGCTATGGATTTTTCTTTTTTAGTTTAGAGTTCATCAGCATTAAATTTATTCTATAATTTGTTTTCTTCTCCAGAAACTTTTATGAAAACAACTAAATATGACAAAGTGATATATTTTAAAGTGGAAAGAACAAATTAAACCTTTTTTCACTTTTTTTTCCAATAAAATTGAGAAGTGCCTATTTTTAGTTTTGTGGTGAGTGCAATATGTTCTGAATGTTCAGTCTATTATTCAGTTTATGTTTTGTGATTTGGCATGTAGGCGAAAAAGATTCTGGAGTCTAATTGGCACAAAATGCTCACATATGCCAAAAATAAAGCGTGAAACTTCAATGGGCTACTTTCTTTACAAAGGCTGGGATCTATCAAAAACAAACTTGGGCTAACTCTTACCAACACGTATGTCCATTTGGAGGAAAGGGGAAAATGGTGACATAGATGGTCAGGTGAAGAACTGGAGTTAGATGTTCAAAATCACCATACAGTATATAAAACATTAATCATAGATCGACATCATCCAATATTGTAGTGTAATCCATGCTTGAACTGGTCAGCAATAAGTATACATAAGGACCATTCAAACAAAACAAAAAAAAGCCAATGAGCAGCTAAAATTTTTATCAAAGCATGCTTAGTATTCAAATGTTTTCCTATCATCACATTCCTCTGCCCCATGATCAACAGTAACTAAGTTGTACCGCAGATGTTTTGCAAAATTGTTAAAAGATATGAGCCACTCACACTGATTGTTGTAAACATTTGAATGCATAATGGTGTGTGATTGATGCTGCTCCAATAAAAAGGTCTTCCGTTGAAAAATGGAGGAATATGAGGGAACATCTTTTCAATGAACACAACAGTTTCCTGACCCCTGTTTAAGCTTAGGCACCAATCAGAACTAGTTATATCCTTTAAATTCTCCTGGAATTGTTACATTTTTAAAATGTTTGTTTCAGAGTTTCAATGCCCACCCAGAAACAGAGGCTGCCAAATATCAGAGAAGAAGAATCCACAGGAGTATCTACGCAACCATCTGTTTGGCTGTTGCATTTAAAAGGGTAGCTGAAAGTTAAATAAAGAAATGACATGTCAGCTTCCTGCGACACTGGTGGGTTTAATTAAACACCACCATCTTTGACCCACTGTATTGTAAAGTCGGTTCCCTGATCTCCCAGATTTATAAATAATCTTAGGCATATCGTCACTGATTGTTTATTTTAATTCATTTGGGATCCATATTATATCATAGAACCAACTAACTGAAGATCAGAGTATTAAATCCAGGTGTTCCTCTGTCAACTATAGTAAACATCCCTACTTCCATATCTAGTTGAGTGGTAATGAGGTACGGTAAACAACACTAAGGATATAAATTCTGTCTGGATGCCTTTCTGCTATGATGCCTTTTCCTCCAGCTTAGACACTCACCCTAGCACCGCACCACAGTCAGAATCAGCTAAATAAAAAAAATGTATTAGGACCTGCAGGATCATAAACTGGGTAAATTTAATTGTTTCTTACTTATGTTTTCAAAGAGAAAGCTGCATGTGAAAATGTAAATTAATAAGATTATATTAGAGTTCATAGGTTTGATTTTTATATATTGGCTGAAAATAACTATGATAATTTATATTAACATTTAGAAAAACTTAAAGGAATTCAACATCCTTGAGAAGTTCAGATCATTTTTATACCGAACTCCACTTAGCCATCTAATTTACACAGTAGCAGCCTTTCAAAATGGCCATTCCCAATGAAACGCCAGCTGCATGGCAGTCCACTTCCCTCCAACTCCCAGCAAAATCCTCTCAAACTTCCAGCCACTGGAATGACTTCCTCTTGCATATGTCTTTACCCTGACTCCACTCTTTCACTGAATTACAGAGTCTGACCAGGACATGATGCTTGTCTTTAGATCTTAACGTCCACAAATCATGACAAAGATAATATTTTAGTACAAATATTGAAATATTAAAAAGGAATTGTAGGGGACAACCCAGGACCAGCCATCAAGGAAAGTGAGGAAATTTTGAAGGGCTAATACTGTAACATTTAAATGTTTATGATCCATCCTCTTAAAAGAATCAACATTAAGAATCAATAGGGACCACGATAGAAATGGGAAATTATAGCGATGCCCAACCCTACCCTATAATGACTGGTTTATGAGCTGATCAAACTCCATAGATCCTTGCTCTTATATCTAAGTTCAGAGTAGAAAAGGCCAAGCCGCTGGACCCATGCCATCCCTCTTCATCAAGGGATCAGTGCAAACTTCTCTAATGTCCAAACAACAGATGAGTAGGTGGGTGCCGTTTGTTGTTAGCCCTAGATTGTGTATTACAACCTGCAAAAAGAGTCTATAAATTTGTCTCTGTAACAGTTTTCTTCTTGAAACTCCTTGCAAAAGGTCAGATTTGTGGGATAAACAATGAACTACTCTATTAATAGATTATCTTACAAAATCTACACAGCTGTTTCACAATAATGTACTCTAGGCTCATTTCTTCTTGATCCTCCTCTTGCTTGGATTGCTAGCTTATATGACTGTCCATGTTCTCAGGTTGAAAATCAGCCACACTCCATATTTGGAAGATTGAGCCTGATGCAAGAACTGTTCATATGAACAAATTTATTGTCCTTATAAGTGATTCAGAAGAAAATTTCGCCTTTATCTTTTCTCCTATTTCTAAAGTTCATAGGTACGAACACATGTTACACGTGCCCCCAACTTGAATTAGGAGTTTTGCCCAATCAGTCAGCCATTCTCCAAACCCAGTTTTTTACCGAATGACTACATCTGCTTTGATTAGAAGCGATTGGCCATTTTATTAGACTACATCATCATATATTATGCAACTCTGCAATTATAAAATGGCATGTCAGTATCCAGGGCACACAAATTTAATCTGTTGCCATTTTGTCAAAAGAAGGAACAGTCATAAGTGAGCTGTATGTGAGACCAAGCAAATATTAAAATCAAATCTGTAACACAAAATGAAAAGTTCAGTTAAAAACGCCTCTAACGGTACGACTTGCATTATTTTCACTCCAACGCACCTCATTGGCTTTGTTGTTACACTTAATGTGGAATGTTTGAATTTGAGTCTGTCTGACATTATCAAATTTAGAGTTTTGCCGTTAAAAAGTTTATGTTTAGGATGTATGAAGGAGGTGGAGTGTGCAACAGTACACGTTTGTGTATTAAAAGGAGATTTACCAGAATGTTGTTATGTAGGTTGATGAAGATCCCATTAAGTATTTACATTAAATGTTGCACATCTTGCCTCCATCAGTGGTTTTCAGAAACAGTTTTCGGATTGAATGATTTTTCTTTTTATATTATTTTTACTTATGTAACAGTGCAACCAAGGCATTTACAGCTCTTGTAATTTTATTCCCCACTGCTTGGCTTTTACTGGTCCTTTAATGCTACTGTTCAGCTCTGTCAGCATATCCTAGATCTCCAAACTAGTAGAGATTTTTTTCTTCAATGCAATTTCTATGATAAAACACCTCCTGAAAGTGTTGGAAGGTGCCTATTACTCTCCCCTCTTTATGAAAAAAGTAAAAAAAAAAAAAAGCTACAACAACCGTTACAGATCTCTCTCTCTCTAAGAATCACCTCTCACTTACTCTTCCACTACCTTTAAAAGCTTTTTTGTAGCTTTTTTCTTATCCCATTATATTTCTAATATAAGCCTATTAAAATCCATTATCTGTTCTGGTTTAAGAGATGCTGTGCAGCAGTCCGGTCATGAAGTGGCAGTTTTCAGTGTAGTCACCCCAATTTTTTTGTTTTCTTTTTATAATTTTTCCTACTCAAATGTGGGACAGTGTTTCAATTTGTTGGCACGTAGACAAAAGTGAAAAAGAAAATCTACACATATTGGGATCTGCTCACCCTGTGTAGTCAGAGCCTCTCTACACACCATCTTAGACTTAGACATTTATTGTCATTTAGTACAAACAGAGTGTATAAAAAAAAAAAAATCTAATTTCGTTTATAAAGCTTCCCAACAGTAAATGAGCAGCAGCTTAGCACACAGTGTGACATGCAGACCCAGAATAATGTAAAGGCCAACTACGGCAGGCATGTGCCTAGGAACCAGAAAAAGGAACAAAATAATAATAAATGAAAATAGAAAAAAAATATATATACAACCGTGTTTGTCATCTACAATTTATTTTGTGTGTTAATATATCAAAATCTATTAATTCACAAAAAAAAATAGTGGTGCTGAAAGCTTTTCTTTAAGTAATATAACTTATGTAATGTAACATATGCTCTTCTTCATTAAAAAAAAAAAATAAGAGGAGCAAAAGAAGAGGAAGTGGAGGGCTTAACACAATTTTTTTGGTTTAAGGCCATGGAATGAGTGGAAACATACTGGAGAGAAACAGTAACAAAAAAGAAACCAAATGCATTTTCCCTGTTTGAAAATTGAGAATGGATTTACAACCTCTCTGGATTTTGAAAAAAATATCGAGGCCTCTGCCCCATCAAAACTCAGTAGAAAGCATCAGTAAATGTACGCTTTTTATTTTTTAAACCTAAATCTAAATAGGTGGCGATTTTACCAAAACATAAAATGCATATCTATTAAATGTATAACATAGAGTAATACTATTAATATAAAATTACATTTCAGGAACAAACCTCAAAAATTTGTCTTTCATTCTATACAATTTTTTTTTATTATTATTCTACAAGACCAAGATGCTGCCAAGGTGTCCTTGTTTCTGCTTTGATGGAGGCCTGAGATGCTAGAAGGCTGAAGATTATCCCACGCTCCCCACATGCTAAATACTTTCCCCAGTAAGTGCTGTTAGTTTTAGTTTTATTTTGTTCACACAATTCAGTTTGTTTTTTTTGTTTGCTGTCTGAGCAGGTCACTAAATACATTTGAAAAAATGCGTTCTTGGTTCAAACTAAGGATCAAGTTATTTAATGATTATTTAAATCTGCTTACGCAATACAACTTCCAAAGAATCATTAAGGACAAAACTGCTAAACATTCCAGACAAGGAGCCTAGGTGCTCAGTGATGAATGCCCGAAAATTGAAGAGAGATGATCCTTGTCCATGAAAATGAACGTCTAGACTTTACCACTACAGCAGAGTTTGTCCCACTACAACGGTTGCTCTTTTTACGTCTCATCAAAATATTTAATTAAGATAATCTGCAAAATACAACAGCTTACAACATTTATTTTATTAGATGTTTTCCATTGCAATTCTGAGACTTATTGGGGATTTACTGTTACTACTAATGACATTTGCAATGGATAAGGATAATTTAATAGTTTCTAGTGGAGCTTTGTAGTAACGTATAAATACGGTAATAAAAGTAAAAAAAAATAGTATGATAGACTGTTTGATATATGACCCATGACTGATTTTGACATACATAGCTCCAACTCATCGTAACAACAATCTACAGTCTGCCTAGTTTAGACTATTCCGGTTCTGGTTAAATCTGAGATTAAAAAGTGGGACGCAACAGGTGTGACCCAGCCTTAAGAATGTTTGTTGAATCTGATGTGGCCTGTTCATAAGAGCACACAGTAGGAGAAAAAGAGAAATTTAAGGCCGGAATATGAAAATGTTGTTGCATGTGGACTATTCCTTGCAAATTTACCCAGCTTGGAATATTGCTTTGTTTAAAAGAAAAAATTAAATATTTAATTTAATTTTACACTGCAACAGATTGGTGACCTGTTCAGAATGTACCCTGCCTCTCACCCATAGAGAGCTGAAAATAGGCACTGGTCCCACAGCAACCCTTATGGAATATGTGGGAGAAGATAAATGGAATGACTTAATTGTTTACACTGTAAGCATGAGCTGTGTCCCTTAATCCTGGTCATCCTAGTGGGGTTTTTTTTTAATTATGAAGCCTCAATAAACCTTGGAGGCCATTACATAACAGTTCTATTTACACCTAAATAAATTATGAACATCCTCAATATATTATATAATGTATAATATAATGCAGAAATTCAGTCTTACACCAGACTATAAATAAGGGTGAGAATATAAAGGTGACTAATATTTTTCAGAACATAAAAAATCCTAATAAAATACCTTGAGATTAATGGTTCTAAATTCATAAAACGTAAAAAAGAGAAAGCCGTATGAATATTTAGCAAGGATCTGTGAAATTGTTGGGGTTTAGCACAATTATGATATTACTATAGAACATTGATAAGATGATTATGCCTTAATTTTTTACTTGGTAACTATTGCATATATCCTGGAGTCTGGTTAAGAGACAAACATTTCAAAGAAAAAAATTATTCAATTTGTTGTGTTTGAATTTTATAATATACAGATTCATAAAGAGAGAAACATTACTTTTTTATATTTTTTCCAAATACCAATCAAAAACCTCAAGTTGAAATATTTAGTATATCTCAATAAGAAAGGCATTAGCTCTTACCTGTAAAATGTGGTGGACACAAGCATTTGTAGGTTCTATCTTTTGGGTCTGTGGATCCGTTGCTCAGGCAGACTCCTTTGTTTTGACAAGGATTATCCAAGCATGCATCAAACCTTTCACAGAACCTCCCAAAGTAGTTATGGTGGCATTGGCAGTGGTATGCACCTTTGTAAAAATCCGTCCGACAAAGTCCATTTCCCGAACAAAGTCTAAGAAAAGGGGACGCCCTGCAGAGTTGTGTTTTAACAGTCACATTCAGCCTTAAACCAAGCTTGCATAGCTGTGAATCTCCTTCATGAAGTGCAATAAAGTAATGATGACCTGGGGTAATCCACTTGGCCTCAACATGTTCACTTTCCTTTATTTTGTGTGGGAAAACAAACTGATTCTTTAAATCTGCATTTGTAATGCAGCTTTCAAAGTCCTCTCTTGACACATTGAAGAGTCTGATGCCATATGACTTGAGTGTTTCATCAGCATACATCAGCAGTTTGTCTCCATGCTGTAGCTGAAGGGGGCATAGCTGGGGAAAGTTATAAGGCTGCCTCACTTGGCCTTCCCCCGGAGAACCCCAGCATTCAAAATCACTCTTACAGAGTTTTCCAATTAAAGTCCAATTCATTTGGATTGTGTGTTTATTAAGGTTCCACTCAAGCGGTTCTTGTCTGTTACAAACCGTTTGGCACTTGGTAATGTGGACAGCTGCATAAATAACAATCAAACAGAAAAAAGACACCCACATCTTTCCCTTCTGTCACAATTAATGCCTTATCAGTCTTAAACAATTAAATGGAACTTTATCAGGTTTGTGGATGTCATAAATAGACTGTGTTGTGTCCCGTGGTTCTTCATTATACAGGCATGGCACCAACCTGAGAAAAAATAAAGAAAATGTATATTATTTATTTATTTATTTTATATCACTTTAATATTTTTTGAAAAACAAATAGATCTCTCAAAACTGTGCAATGTTTCTCTAACACTATTAAAACAACTGACACAGAACATAATCGGAAGGTTGCTTTGTAAAAACGTATTGTGTCATTGTGTCTAGAAGGAATTGTCATAATAATATGCAGTGCTGCTGACCACCAAGTGTGTCACAGCATTCTCAGCATCCCTGAGGTTTCTACGACTGACAGTGTCACAAAATATTCTTTCCCCTATGCCGGTGCCTGATACCTTAGTGTTGAGCATTGAGATGAGTTAAAGCAGACAGCATTGTCTTTCTCCCTCTGTCTTTCTCCCTCTGTCTTTCTCCCTCAGGCGCTTTTCCTATGTGTGCTCGAGACAAAAACAGCAAAGTCGCAAAGGCTCGCTACAAGAGAAACTATGTCCCTTAATCATCTCACAAAGGCAGATATGAAAGCTATTTGGTGATAAGTAATAACACCCTGAATATTAAACACCAGTTCTTAATAGAGAGGAGTGATAAACTAAACAAGATTACATGAATTATTATTGGAGCACAGTGGGCATATAATTTATACGAGATAAGGTTGACTATTGTGTTTCGCTGAACAAATCTGTTCCTGATTCATGAGGAGAAGAAAAATCTAATCATCTATTTCTAATATGTACATGACATTTATAATTGTTTAAATATTTGGAGGTTATTCAGTATAAGCAATATCAAATTTCTTTGAGGTGATCTATTCTCCAATGAAACATTATTAATGCATGCTTAAAAAAAACAACTCTTAAATATGAAATGCCACATTTGGCTTGATACATCTTAAGGGCTGTATTGCTTCAGATCATGACAGTGCCTCAATATTTTGAATTATAACTTCACTCATTTTGTCCATTGTTATAACCCTTGCTGTTATCTTTAAGCTTCTTGTTTTAATAAAAAGGGCTCCAAAATCCCAATATATGGTTTTATCAAGCCCCAAAGGGACATGTCGAGGACTTATAACACATCATTACCAAAGGCAAAAAAACACATGCTACCGATGAAGACACTTTCAGTCCTTTAAACCTTGCCTTTTGTGAAAACTTTCACTTGATTTAAATAAATATCGTCTATCAACTGGAGGTCCTCAGAGGTATTTGCCTTTGGTTTCCTAAGAGGCTGGTACCTGTACTTGTCCATTCAGTGATCAGAGTTACATTCAATGGATGATGGATCTCATAAGCATAACTGAGGGACTGCTGGAGAGTCAACAACAAACTACAAGCGAATACCTATTATCACCATATCCTCATCCAGGAGAAGTGTGTCCTGCAAAGTCAATGACCTACAGGTGCTGGTCATAAAATTAGAATATCATGAAAAAGTAGATTGATTTCAGTAATTCCATTTAAAAAGTGAAACTTGTATATTATATTCATACACTACATACAAACTCATATATTTCAGATGTTTATTTTGTTTAATTTTGATGATTACAAATGACAACAAATGAAAATCTCAAATTCATCATATCAGAAAATTAGAATATTGTGAAAAGGTTCACAATTGATGGCCCCTGGTGCCACACTCTAATCAGCTAATTAACTCAAACCACCTGCAAAAGCCTTTAAATGGTCTTTCAGTCTAGTTCTATAGGCTACACAATCATGGGGAAGACTGCTGACTTGACAGTTGTCCAAAAGACGACCATCGACACCTTGCACAAGGAGGGCAAGACACAAAAGGTCATCGCTAAAGAGGCTGGCTGTTCACAGAGCTCAGTGTCCAAGCACATTAATAGAGAGGCGAAGGGAAGGAAAAGATGTGGTCGAAAAAAGTGTACAAGCAAGAGAGATAACCGCACCCTGGAGAGGATTGTGAAACAAAACCCCTTCAAAAATGTGGGGGAGATTCACAAAGAGTGGACTGCAGCTGGAGTGAGTGCTTCAAGAACCACCACACACAGACGTATGAAAGACATGGGTTTCTGCTGTCGCATTCCTTGTGTCAAGCCACTCTTGAACCACAGACAGCGTCAGAAGCGTCTAAAGAGAAACAGGACTGGACTGCTGGTGAGTGGTCCAAAGTCATGTTCTCTGATGAAAGTAAATTTTGCATTTCCTTTGGAAATCAAGGTTCCAGAGTCTGGAGGAAAAGAAGAGAGGCACTTCATCCACGTTGCTTGAAGTCCAGTGTAAAGTTTCCACAGTCAGTGATGGTTTGGGGTGCCATGTCATCTGCTGGTGTTGGTCCATTGTGTTTTCTGAGGTCCAGGGTCAACGCAGCCACATACCAGGAAGTTTTAGAGCACTTCATGCTTCCTGCAGCTGACCAACTTTTTGGAGATGCAGATTTCATTTTCCAACAGGACTTGGCACCTGCACACAGTGCCAAAGCTACCAGTACCTGGTTGAAGGACCATGGTATCCCTGTTCTTAATTGGCCAGCAAACTCTCCTGACCTTAACCCCATAGAAAATCTATGGGGTATTGTGAAGAAGAAAATGCAATACACCAGACCCAACAATTCAGAAGAGCTAAAAGCCACTATTAGAGCAACCTGGGCTATCATAACACCTGAGCAGTGCCACAGACTGATCGACTCCATGCCACGCCGCATTGCTGCAGTAATACAGGCCAAAGGAGGCCCAACTAAATACTGAGTGCTGTACATGCTCATACTTTTCATGTTCATACTTTTCAGTTGGCCAACATTTCTATAAATCCTTTGTTTTTATTGGTCTTCAGTAATATTCTAATTTTCTGATATGATGAATTTGAGATTTTCATTTGTTGTCATTTGTAATCATCAAAATTAAACAAAATAAACATCTGAAATATATGAGTTTGTATGTAGTGTATGAATATAATATACAAGTTTCACTTTTTAAATGGAATTACTGAAATCAATCTACTTTTTCATGATATTCTAATTTTATGACCAGCACCTGTAATGCGATTGTCTGGTTTTCATTATAGTGGGTTCACATCAAAAGCAAAACATGTAAAATGTTGCCAGTTTCTCTGCTTTTGCCTAAACAGGGTCACTAGTTGTGAAAAGAATGAAATAATACATAAACAATGATATATTCATATACATTTGCAGAGCTACAGGTTTCATTTTATTGACAAAGCAAATACAGGAGATAGAAGTTAATCCAAATCCAGGTCCTTTCTAAAAACATTTTGCCAACTTAACAGCGTGTTCTTTCATTTTTCTTTTGAAGTAGAAAAAGTTAGGCTCATTAAGTTGTCATTGCTTTGCACAGAGACAGTAATTAAGATATAGGGCCAAGTGAATGAGGTGCATATGCTAGTTACAGCACAATGGCACTTATGCAAAAATGAGGACATGCAGGTGTAAGTTGAGATAAACATCGCTGAGATAAATAGTGCAATCCCTCTGCATATGGTAATTTCTCATTATTGTCAGCTTCATTCAGAACTTCTTAAGCCCTGACAGCTGCAGTGACTGGATTTAGGTGATGTTTTCTGTGGGAACATGTGCACATGATACACTTCTTGCCTGTTATAGGACTAGGAATGATTTCTCAAAGATTTACATTTATACTGTATTTTGAAGGGAAAAAAGCAGAATGAAATTCCAACTGAATTAATTTGGTGCTCCTTTTGTCGTGGGAGTTTCAAAGATCACAAATAATATTTTGATCTTTTAAAAAAGTATTGAAGTGAAGATACAGGAAGGGAAAAAGTAACTTATCTGGAAAATACTGAAATCAATGCAGATGCACACTTTTTGATTTCCAATGATTAGTTTTAAGAAATGTATTTTAGTCTTCATCATGCCAAATAGCAAGTTTTATGTGGATAAAAAAATCATATATATATTATGTAACTTATCTCACCCAAGGAAGTCTCTTGCAAATACGACCCATTTAAAGTTACTTGATCAGAGCTCAATCTTTTGTTCATACAAGCGTGGACCTATATCTGACTTAATATCCCTTTATCAGGTGGCTTAAACAGGAAGGGTCAAATGTCATTAACTATATTAGACTTTAGATTTGCCTTTGAGAATATTAGCTAATTAAAACCTCTTTCACTTATTACATAGTATGTGTGCTGTTAGCAGCAGGATGCCACTGAGATGATGCAGAGCCTCTGATGGCACTCCAGAACAACTTTAAGACTGTTTGGCATCAGTTGTATTTCCAGGGTAGCTCCATGGATTTGTCCTAATCAGTAATAATGCTGATGTGCCTCGAGAGCTTGCAACTTTCAGACACCAACAAATACAAATTTCCAAGCTTCAAATGAGAGTTCCTTGATTGGTAGACAGCACACTAGGGGTAAAAAAGAGCTTGATTGCAGATTCTTACATCCATCATTGTTTGGGCTTTATAGCCATCACTAGTTCCAACAAACTTTGTGTTAGCATTAATGCCTTTATTGGCATTTTTTTCTTCAAATAGTTGGTTGCTTTTATAAGCACAAATATACATGTACATTTTTTATAATTCTATGTATTTGCATATTTCTTTAAATCTGAGAATGCTTTATGTAATAAGTGTACAATATATTTGTAGCTGGTACACCTGAATTTCACCAACTGAAGGTTACATTGTACAATATCAACATAATAGCAAGTGCAACTTCATCTCTGTTCCCTGCAATTTTTTAGTTTGAGAAAGTACCTTTATCAGTCGCTCAACCTTGTCGTATATTGAAACGAGATCCACCCAAAGGTAAAGTCGTATATTGCTGTTTTTTTTTTGTAGCATTTGAACAGTGTTTGTGGTAATTATATTATATACACTCCTTGAAACACCAAGCCAACACAAAACAGAGCAATACAAAACAGAGCAATATGATAATGAATATCAAAATCATGGGTTTGCATTGCACCAGCAAACCAGATGTGTTTAGTGCTGTAGAGCAGCGGCCCCCAACCACCGGGCCGCGGACCGGTACCGGTCCGTCGGTCATTTGGTACTGGGCCGCAGAGAAAAAAAAAAAAAATATATATATATATATATATATATAGATAGATAAATAATTTATCGACGATCAGAGTCTGAGTGATGTTTTATTTTAAAAAATATATTTCAAAAAAAATATATGCCAGTCGCATCATTTTACTTGATCGTATTTACCTCCCCACCCCCTCGCCAGCCGGTCCTTGAACATATTGTCTGACATATAGCGGTCCGTGGTGCAAAAAAGGTTGGGGACCGCTGATGTAGAGCATATGTCAATGTATGAACTAAGGTTTTGGCCCATTCACATTAATTTCCTGATTTTTCTGCCCAAAATTGTGAATCCAGATATTTCTAAAATTATACTTTTATAAGGTCTCTGTTTGTTTTATATTTTTTCATAATAAATTCAAATTAGTAAAGAAAAATTACATTTTGTCTAAATAATATAATAATTTTTTATTTACATGTAGTAGGGGGACCAAGTGCATCACAGTTTCTTGCAGGGCTGGGAGTCTCAACTTGTCAGGGTGACAGAGCCGACCCTTGTCTAATACCTAAAGCACCAACTATTAGCATGTACATATCAGAATCAAATCGCATAGCATTTAAATATGGTACCCTGGTCTAATAAATTACATTATCTTTTATTTTATGCAGATTGCTGTTTGCTTCTTACCATGGTACTGTAGCACATAGTAGCAGAATTCCCAATAGGAAAATAGCAAATCAGTGGGGGCATAGTAATGTCTTGAGGAATTTCTGCAGGGAAGCCTTTGGCCTTGAAATCCTGGTGTTAATGAAATCCGTGGATGCTAAATTGACATTTACCACGGCACATACATGGGTGTTGTTGCAGTGCATGCAAACAGTATTACCTGATAGTTGTAGCTTCATTTTATCAAAATCAAATACTCTGCCACAAACCAAAAACTGAGAAAAACACATTTGGAGTGAGTAGGAATTAATTTATATAGCACTTTTCAGGGGCAAGGCAATTCAAAGTGCTTTACATCATAGAAAAACCAGAACAAAGTTTCAGCAGAATCATAAAAAAAATCAATGAAGTACACGGCTAATCATCACAACATCTGAATCATTACACAAAACCATCAACCAGATATGCATGATAATTATAGGAAGATGGTCACTGTGTATGAAGACATTCTTTTTTAGAGCAGAATTTCACCTGGATTAGTCTGTGTGCTTAAAAACAAAGGCAGCTCTAAACATTTGGGTCACAGTATATGGGTTTACAGTATAAGAATTTAGAGTTTTTTTCTGTTTTGTATTTTTCTGGGAGTTTGATTTATATTAAAGGAACATAAAGACCGCTTCTCCATGTTTGGCTCTAGGGATACAAAGTACATTTGAGTGCTATGGAAGTCAAACCCAATGACAGTAAGTCTTTAAGGTATCATGATGCTAAACCATTCAGTGATTTATAAACTAATGTAAGTATTTTAAAGTACATTCTTGGAGCTACAGTTGTCCATGGTAAGGATTTTTAAAGCCAGGCTGATGTGCTCTATTTTTCCATTTTTATTGGAACACAAGCAGCAGATTTTTGGATTAGCTTCAGCTTTCTGACGAGTCTTTTTTTGGCAGACCTGTGAAGACTCGGTAGCAATAATCAATGCGACTAAATATAAAAGCATGGATTAGTTTAGATTTTGGGCCAGTTTTGGCACCTCCACCCATTGAGTTAAGTGCTTGGATAGGTTAGGAGTCACCTGGTGAGAATATGATATAGAGCTGTGTATCATCTGCATGGTTATGATAACCAATCCTATCTCTTATCATAATCTGAGATAGTATTTAGAAAATAAATAGAAGGGGTGCAAGGATTGAAACTTGAGGCTCCCATCGATGCCAAAGCCTAACATGCACACAGACTTTCCCGCTATCATCCACATATTTATTTATTTATGGAGGCACACAAAAAAGTTTGGATGCACTGTGATTAATTGCAAACACAAATCTCTTTGTTCTTAAAATAGAGATCTACTCTGCGTGTGCTAAGGAGTCTACATGTGTTTTAGAGAACAAACTGTTCAATATTGGGCCCTTAGATATAAATATATATATATATATATATATATACTGTAAACAGGATGAGCTTTTTCACATTTATTAAACAAGAATTAAATTGGGACACATTTCTGATTTTACCCACCAGAAATGTGTCCAAAATGCTGAAATAACAGATTTTCAAGATGAATGGATAAAAATTTAAAAGGTTTGAAAAGAAATTAATCATTTTGAAGCCTGCCCTGGATTCATGTCTGGAGTATAGGCTGATTTGATATTAAAAAAAGTGTATATCATGGCCGTTTTTTTAAATTAACTTTAAAATATTGTAAAAAAAAAAAAAATATATATATATATATATATATATATATATATATATATACATACATACATATATATGTATATTGTACTATTATGAAGAGATTATTTGAATTAGTGTGCTTAGCAAATCTGGTGGCCTAAAATTCTAAAAAAAAAAATTGGCATGGACACCATAAGTATCCCTCACAGGGTGAAATAAGGTGTTTGATTATCTATCACCTTGAGCAGTGTGGAGAAAAACATTTCAGTCACACTCCCTGTAAATTCATATGGTTTCTAAAGTAGTTTTTGTGCATCAGTAAATGTGACCATAATGTCTCTTTCTGTATAGTACCTTGATGCAAAACATAATAGAGCAGGTAAGCTTTAATGGGAGAGTTTAAAGGACTTTTAATCAGTTCTGGGTGGTTAAAGTCAACCCTGGACTGTATCCACATGAGTAAAAGCCGGCTAAGGCCTGAGGCCAAAAGGACAGCGTTAAACAACAGCTTAACTGCAGTATTACACTCATCCGACGCGTCTGCCTGCTCCCATTCTGAGAACGACAGACCCAGGATTTACTGCACGGTAATCTGACATCCAGGGTGCGCATATGGACCATCTGCCATCATAAACGGTGCAAACTACGTCTGAAGTGTTCAAACTCAATTACGCTGGTAAGTTCACTCTGCAAGGGTGCATGCTCACCATTATCTGCTTGGCTTGTTACGTCGTTTTGGAGAGGGCGGTTTTCCACTTGGAGGCTGCAAAGATGTGTTTCTTCGCGAGGAAGGAGCTCAATCAGCGTCCCCGCGCACGCGCACGAAGACACCTGTTCCTAAACAAAATGTGATCAGGTCCGAGGCTGGGGTGATGGGAAGGCGCACCCTCTGTCACAGGACAGGAGCCTACTGCGCGCGGGGCGGGGGCCGCTCCAAGTCTGCTTGATTGATTATTTAATCAGGCTTAACCGAAGATTCATTAACCAACCCCTGTTATTCCGTGTCAATAGCTGAACTTACTACAGTAAATAAGATAGATAGATAGATAGATAGATAGATAGATAGATAGATAGATAGATAGATAGATAGATAGATAGATAGATAGATAGATAGATAGATAGATAGATAGATAGATAGATAGATAGATACCATGAACTCCCTTTTATTGGTCCAATATGTCATTATAATACAAAATCACAAGTGAATCATATACATGCAATCATCCTAACAGCCCGAAATAAAAAAAAATAATAAAAACCCCAAAACTGAGAGTAAGCAATTCATCCCTTACACAACATAAAATGTCTCTGCTTCCCCAAATACAGATGAACTTTTGCATCTCTGACACCATCTTATAATAGGCAAACTCTGTCCTAAGACATGCAGCTACCAACCCTCTGAACCTCAGGTCAACATATACAGAACCTTTCTCCCTCATTTTATTTCTCCTGCTCAGCCAAATGCTCATCTTTGTCTGACCAAACAAAAAATTAACCAGACAAATATTTCTGTTCTACTGAGTATCTGGGGCCAAAAATAAACAGTTTGTTATTAAAACTGAATCCTAATCCGCCCACCCACTGCTTTAACAATGAGAAGAGAGAAACCAACATCCGAGCAAGAGATCTGGAACATCCGAGCAAGAGATGCTGTAGTGTTTCCTCAGCCTGACAAAAGGCACACTGACTCCCTGATCTGTGATAGATAGATAGATAGATAGATAGATAGATAGATAGATAGATAGATAGACAGACAGACAGACAGACAGACAGACAGACAGACAGACAGACAGACAGACAGACAGACAGACAGACAGACAGACAGATACATAGATAGATACAAACATAGTGTAAGGATTCCTCTCAGTGTATTTGTGTTTCTGTGTTTGTCTCCCTTCTTCCACCAGGAGGCGCCTGGTTCTGGTCCGCCTCCTCGCACACCTGCTGATGGTTTCCTCATTAAACAGAGTGTTCTTAAGCTGCTGACTGCCACTACCTCGACTCCAGAGTGTTTGCCAGTTTTGGGTACTCTAGCCAAGCTGAGTTTTGCTGAGTCAAACTGAGTTCTTGTCAATCTGAGTTTTAACATTGCTTTATCTTTGCCTCTCGGCAGGAAGTCATCCTGCAAACTGGATTTTTCTGACCTTCTCTCCCTGGAAGGATCAACTGAGCTACAAACTGAGCTGGGGTTCAAACAGGAGGTTTGGATCCACTTTCCTCAAGAGATCGTTTGAGCTTTGCATTGAGAAAGGGATTCTCCACTACAACCCGTTCAAGTACCGCAGGAAATCTGAGTGGCAGTCAGTTTCTCCGTTCACCTATGAACAACTGCTTTCTGGGTAAACTCTGTTCCGCCCTCCACCGAATTAGACAAACACTGGAATTACAGCATACAGACTGGAGTCAAGGTTTCAACAACTTCTCTGGAGAAGTGAGTCAGCAACCAAATCCTCTTCTCCATGTTCACGAATCAAATTTCCCACTGAGCCTGAACTAACCGCTGTGTCTTCCCCTCACTTTTCAGTACCAGTTGAGCAGTGTTCAGAGCAACACTTCTCTCTGTTTTATCACTTCAATAAAACCTGTTTCACCTTTCCCTGGTCTCCATGTTTGGTCTTCTGCGTTTGGGTCTGAACTTTAGTAAAACCATGACAGAGGCCAGAGTGTTCTGTCATGGTTTACTCAGGACTGCTAGAGTGGAAAAGTTTTTGTTTCACCTGGTTTAAATTTTTTACGAAATCTTCAAGGAACCTCTTGCTATTTGATTATTAATCGATTAATCAAAAAAATAATTGGCCGTTTAATTGATTTGCAAAATAAATGTTAGTCGCAGCCTAACTGCATCTAGTCATTTACTTGGCAGCATTGGTAACTTCTCAATGAGCATGTAGTGATAGTTGACATTCATTTCCCTAGTGTCATTAACTCTGCAACATGACTCACACTCAACATGCGTACAGTGACAGTGAAGAAGAAAAACTCCCTATAACAGGAAAAAGCTCCAGCAGAAACAGGCCCAGGACTTGGTGCTGAAAAACAGAACCAACTTTATCATCTATAATAGATGTTGACAAAGTAGTTTTCTCTGTATATAAGAAACAATCGTAATATGTAGCTGGCCTAGCTAGGGCTTTATAAATGAGAGGGAGAATTTTAAACTCTATTATTGTTAAGGATCCAACAATGAACCGAATAATTCAACCAGACACAGTGTTTCTTTTAAAAGTTTCATTGAAAGCTGCGGAGATGAGAGACTGAACTCAAGGTTCCACTGAACATGCAAATGCATGGGAACCTATGTGCCACAGTTTCTGCCAAGCACCCTTTTCCCCCGGGAGTGTTTCAGAACAGAGCGCCTCCAAGCAGTTGGACTGAGATTGGGCAGGCATCTGATTGCTCATTTTTAGAGGAGCTGGATGCTGGTTGCTTCTGAGTATCAACAGTCTATCATGAATATAACGCTTTGTTTGCTAGGTTAACATTGACGTCCATGTTAAAGGAAAAATAGCGTGTAGCCTATTTTCTCTGAAGTAAATTCAGGTAAAAATAGGCTACAGGCTTACAGATTCATCATTGCTGAACTTCTGAGGTGTCAGTCTGCTCATTAAACAATGTTTTAGTCGAAAAGAATAAAATAAAAAGCCTTTTTAAAAATATTTGTCAATAACAATTTAATTAATATCTCTTTAATTCTTTAATTTCGAGTTTTGTTCAGAGTGAAAGAAACTTTAGCCTGGTGATACAAAGAAACATATTAGCAGAATTAACAAGAAGACCCCATCGATACGTCACAATGTTTTTGCTGTGACACATTTACTGTTTAGATGTCAGGATGCTTTATTTATTTATTTTAACAGACCAGGCATCATTAGGTCAGTTCTGGTGGTGCTGGTATCTATTACTGCCTCTTCATGGAAGCGACCAGCAACTCCACAATGTCTCGTGTGGTACATGTTAAAGTTCATTTCGTCATTTTTAAACATTCTCCTTCTAAATACATACACCCACACATATAAACTTACATAGACACCAAGGAGAGTACTATAACTGTTTTGGTGCTGTATTTCTGTTATTTCTCATGCTTATTTGCTTAGGGAATATTTTGACAGCTTGTTTAGAATGTATTTTCCAATGACCTACATCTCCTTTCACTGTACAGGTATACTCGCACCAGGGAGCTGCGCAACAATCTGTCTTCTACTAGTAGGTGATGAAAAACAGTATAAAGCAAGGGGTTAAGTGCCTTGCTCCAGGGCAATTCAGTAGTGTGCTTCTGAGGGTAAAAAAAAAGTGTTCGACATTAACATTACAGGCCCTGAATCCTCTACAGCCTTCCACTGTGTTTTAATAAGCTGGTTGCTTGGGCCAGAAAACATAACAATGTTCTTCTAAAGTCATTTAAAGAAACATCTCCCATCTTTGTTTGAAATGAAGCCATGGTATTTTGATGCAGATAGCATTCCGCTTTTTTTGCTGATAACCATACTCTGTAGGATGATATGAAAGGCAATTTTCACAAGATAAAAAAAAAACAATTGTATTGATAACAATATTTCAAGAATATAAATTAAATGTGATGCTATCCCAGTTGTTTTATGTGCAAAAAGCTAACTTTGACCCAATTTTAAACTCCTCGAGGTGAGACACAGAGTAAGATGTTTTTAAAAGGGTCACTGACACTATATTTTTCATTAGTTCCTTTATCACTGAAGCATTTGCACACAAAAATAAAAAGCCTCCAACCCAGTTGTACATGGTGCTCTTCTCTCACGTGGGACCTCACAAGCACTCGGCTAAAAGAGGTCTGCAAATCATCTTGTCAGCAGACAGTTTCAAATAATTTCAGGAGGATTTGTAGGATGGCTGTTCTTATCAAAATACATCAGGATAAAGCACCTGCCTGACCTTAAGGGCTGACATATTCTATCTCATATGCTCATCTCAGAGAAAAGGCGCTTAAGTTCTCAACTTTGGTTTCCTCCCCCTCTGTGACTAGATTAACGAGCTGCCCTTTTGTGTTCAGCATTGGCCATATTTCCTGCAGCTTGAGGTAGCTTCATTATACACAGAAATATCGACCTTCAATGCTTTTTATGAGAATGTATCACTAAGAAAAGCCAGCATTTATCTATATAGCTCTGCAAACTACACTCATCACTCCACATGTACAAGTGTTGCACATCTTAGCATGTATATATGGCCATGAATTGTACTATAAGAGCTCCCTTACTTAAAGGTATTTACTTACTTAAAGGTCTTTTTTAAAAGACCCGTCCTCTCCAATTAAAAAAAATGTGCAGGCTGCAAGGCAAGAGCATGCGCAAGCCCATTTCTCCTTGTGCACATCCTGTTTAAAATGTGCCGTTCTCATAGCTCATACAAGCTTACTGTGTCCACATGCAGCGGGGACTATGTAGTGGACTTTATAGAAAACTCAGTTAACTGACCGTTTGGACAGATAATCACTGGTTTTTGCTCCATTGGCCACGTAACTTCTTCTCCACGCAGCGCCTGCACCAACTTTGTTATAATTCACCACTGTCGGCTAGCTACATACCATAGCGATAGCGGGCCGCTGTGACACCAAATCCCACAGTACAGAGATCTTGGATTAGTAGACTGCAGTCCGGACCCACCTGCTGGCTAATCCGGACCCAACTTGTTTTAAAACATTTATATTACTGCATGTTGTCCGACAACAGTGTCTTTTTTTTTTTTTATTCTCTTTATTGAAATACCACATCATCATAACAAAGATGGTTACAATATTACAACAAAAAAAATTTTTTTTTTTTCTTTTCTTTTTTCCTTTTGTACAGTCTGTTTTTCTATTCAGTACAGCTCGCCCATCGAACATAGGAACAAACATAGAACCTGAGGTGTTCT